AAGTATATTGATACCTAGTTATTGTAACATTTTGACTGATTAGAAAACTTATAATTATTAGTCAAGATTTTTGACTGATTTTAAAGAAAAAAATTATAATAACACTAGTCGTAATCGTGACCTATTAAATATAAGAAGAAAAGTGATCGTATGGTTCAGTTTATTTCTTGTTAACTTTGTTTGAAAAAATATATGTCGTTATGAATTGACAGTATTAGAAATTTAGATTACCTTGTACCACTAGATTACATTTTGTCACGTTGTTTGTCCTCGGCGGACTTCTAAACTACTGAACCAATTCTAAATTTTATTAGCTCACCATGTGCATTTATATCTGGATTAAGTTATAGGTAATATTAAAAATCTCAGTTTATATTTGAATTATTAAAGTTTTAGAAATTTCAATAAATTTTGATAGTACGAAAACAAAACACTATGAAATGGCAGTTATCCCTGATTCTGGAAACTGAGTTAATTTAATTTAATAGATATCAGAAAATACAATTTATAGTAGAATAATTACATTAGTCACTAATCAGACAAAAAATAATACTGTCAGTTTGAGAAGTTTATATTTATCATAAATTCTATTTAAATTCAAAAACGTCCAAGTGTGAAATATGCCTTAGAAATGAGTGCAAGCGTTTCGCATTGAGCCGTGAAGTTGAAATATTATGTAACAGACAATTTGTTAGACAATTTAGATCACAAATAATATTCAAGTTAAGAAGTCTTTTGTATAAAGAAATTTTATACTATGAAATTTGCTTCTGGAAAATAAACAGTGAATAAAAAAATCCGTAAGTTATTTATCTGTTCCATACGAATTATAATATTTATATGTCGAACGTTTACGAAGAATAATATTTATATGTCGAACAATTTAAGCAAATACTTCCTTACTAAAAAATGATGCACTAATTAATTACAACCGATAATTTTGAATATCAGATTTTGTTGACAACGTAAAAATTATGTCTTCAAAAACCCAGATCGATGTTTTAAAAAACCTAACATAAAATTATAAATTTTAATCTAAATTAGATCAACAAATTTTAATCCACGCACAAAATCAAATCATATGACAAAAATTATTTATTATATATTATCAAAATAAAATCGACTTACCTTATTTCCATTTATCCAGGGTTGCACTATCACTACACTCAATAAAAAACACTTCAAACTAATTCACTATTTCTGAAAACAATATTTGAAAAAAATATAATTATAATAAAATGAGGATATCAATTGAAATTACATTTAGATTCATATTTTGTAACAATCATAAATAATTATAAGACTTACCTCTTTTGCAATTTTCCCATGATTGAACAGAACATTTTCAAAAAAGGAAAGCACTTCAAACAAATTTACAATTTCTGAAATAGATATTTAAAAAAAATTATAATTATAATCAAAATCAAGTTATCAATTGAAACAATTTTGTATTTTATTAGTATTTAGATTCGTATTTTGTTGATACCATAAATAAATATACTTAATTTTATCTAAAGTATTTTTGACTCATTTATATTTATTGAAATCGGTTGAGCAATATATACATCACCAATAGAAGAGTGATTGATATTAAATTATTATGTTATTTAAACATAGATATCAATTAATAATTCTTGATACCAAAAATTTTAAATTTACAATGAATAATAATTTTCAACATTTTGTTGAATCAAAATATATATCATATTTTTAACCATAATAACTTTTAACAAATTTTAAAGTCAAAAGAACAAGTAAAATATAAGTATGTATTTATAATTATTTTTTTATAAATTTGGATCAAGGTATATATTTTCTCAACCACATTTTTATATACACAACATGTTAGGCCTATTCTATTGGAATAATTTATTTTAAATATGTACATTTAATTTGGCACAAACATTAAGTAATTTTAAGAGTCGATATATAATAAATTAGTATTTACATTTGTTTAGATATAAAAACTACTTCAATGGAATGACAATGTATGAATGACTAGTATGTACATTTTTATTTTTGAACCGAATTCTACACTGCAGATAGAAAATTTCTGTGAAAGGAATTTTTGAACACATTTTTCAAATTTATGCAATTTAAAATAAATTTATATTTAGATATAGTTTATTAGAATTAACATTTGTCTTTTTTTATAATTTTCTACATAATATTTTATTTGGCCAAAAAACGATTTGTTGACTTTCTCGAAGAAAGTCAAATGTTTATTAATTAATTAATCTAAAAACAATGGAAATAATATTCAATTAATCAGATAAATTCAGATAATTCAGGTTCAATTTTGGAAACCATTTTTTTATATTATTTCTCTAATAACTTTCAAAAAGTCATCTCGATGATTAATTTTATTTGAAGCCGATTGCAAAATTACTATAATATAATTACAAATATTTTTTTAATAATTTTTCTACAGTAATTTGCAGTTTATTAGAAAAAAATACAAACGTTATTTTTCACAATATATTTTAGTAAAAATTAAATAGTATAATGAAATAATGCAATACGATTTTTACTTCAAATTTTATCATAACATAATATATTTAGCTAATCCATGACATTTACTTTATTGTATAGTGAAACCATATAATAAATGTAAATAAAAGTATTTAACTTGCTTTAATGCAATTTATAATTTGTAGGAATCAGTAATTTTACAGAACTAAATTTAGTAAAATTTCATTTTGAAATGATATAAAAAACAATCAGCGTACTGGTAACAAATTTAAATTAAAATGTTTTCTCGTAAACTGTAACACTTATATAATTACTATTTTTAATTGAAAACAAAGCATTTTCTAATTTAGTTAATTATTTAAAAAATATTTTTGAAATATATTAGAAATAATATGTTTCTATAAAAGTATATTAGCAATAATATTTCATATGTTGCTTATATAGTTGAAAGCAAAATTTTTGAACATCATTTTATAGAAAAAGAAATCCAAATTGAATTACAATTTCTTTAACAATACATCTCTGCACGTTTCGAATCCCAATTTGACAAGTATTTTTGATAGTGAATATAGCAAAAATAGTCATTATGCAAGAGCTAATGCATCAAAATAATATTCATTTTTATTTTTATTTAAATTGTGTCGTATTCAGCAAGATTTAAAATAGACAGTTATTTTATTTTTAAATTGATTACAAAATCAAATTTGATTAAATACCATTAATAAGGACAGTTAGATTATCATATTTTAATCATTATATTCGATGAATGCTATAGCATCCACGACAAGTATTTCGTTTCTATTCGACAGAATGTGCTTGCTCAAGGTAACTCGTGTTCTATTGAAAAAATGAGATAATACCAAAAACACCTAAAGAATTAGTTAGTAATTACCTTGGCAGGTTTAACAATTACAAACATGTAAGGTTATATCAAATTAAAATATAAATAAATGACTTTAAAATTTAAAGGTTACAGCATTCATGTCATTCTGCACCAAATGCAAATTAGTGACAAAAAGAGTTTATTTCGTTTGAAATTACGATGCACTAACGTAAATAAAAGTTATATAACTTATTTTATGTTATAAGGTTAGTCAGATTATCATATTTTAATCAATATATTTGATGAATGCTATAGCATCCACGTCAAGTATTATGCTTCTATTTTAGGTGATGTGCTTGCTCAAGGTAATTAGTGTCTTCAGAAAAAATAAGATAATACCAAAAATATCAAAAAAATTAGTAATTACCTTTACTGGTTTAACAATTACAAAAACGTCATGTTATATCAAATTTAAATCAAAACAGTTGACTTTAAAATTTGAATGTTATAGCATTCATGTCAATCTGCACAAATATATTTTTTTTATTTGCATAGATTTATTGCCGATTAAAATAATATACATTGTTTAAGACAATATGCTGGGTGTAAATTCATTCATTTTGAGTGACAAAAAGAGTTAATTGCATTTAAAATTACGATGCACTGGCTGTGGGTGGTAATAATAATTTTGGGTGGTCCTTAATATGGATATTTCCGAATTTTTTATGCTCCCAGAGGCTCAAATGCTTCCATATTGATAAAAAATCATTCTCTGAAAGTTCTAGCTCTTAATATTAACGTTAAGATAGTTCGCACCCCAACCAAAGTTTTTTATGGAAATAACATGGGTAAAATTCCATTTGTTTTTTAGAATTTTATAACTTTGCGACAAGTGAATCCAAATTTTGATCATAAATTAAAAAATTACAACAAAAATTTGATACACTTTATAAAATTAGTATTTACTTAGGAAGAAGAACCAATAAGTTTTGGTTCGCGGGCTATCTTAAAGTTAATATTAGGAGCTAAAACTTTCAGAAAATATTTGTTCAACAATTTGAAAGCTTTTGAGCACTTGGGAGCAAAAAAATTGGAAATATCCATTTTAAGAACCACCCAAAATAATGACTTAACAGCCAGTGCATCGAAATTTTGAACGAAATTTACTTTTTCTGTAACTCATTTGCATTTTGATGCAGAATGACATGAATGCTATAACATTTAAATTTTAAAGTCAACTATTTTGATTTAAATTTGATATAACCTTACATTTGTGTAATTGTTAAACCTGTCAAGGTAATGACTAACTGATTCTTTAGGTATTTTTAGTATTGTCTTATTTTTTCATAAGAACACGAATTACTTTGAGCAAGAACATTGCGTCGAATAGAAGCGTAATACTTGACGTGGATGCTATAGCATTCATCAAATATAACATATTAAAATATGATAATCTGCCGATTCTTATCTGATTCTTTAGGTAATTTCGTAGGAGCAAAAAAGTGAAAAAATATCATATTCAAGACCACCCCAAAATATAAAAAATACAAAATTAAAAATCAGAATAAATAATTTGTTAGGCCCTGCAACAATTCATAAATGTATATAAATATCGATGTGATTTTGCAGCAGTGTAGAATTCAGTTCACCAATCAATCAATATATAAATTATCAATTATTATTTTCTTTATATAAATATGATTATTAAATAATATTACTTACACACTAGATAAATTTAATCAGCTCGATATCACTAGAAATATTGAAGATATTATCACTACACAACACGTAAAGACCGACTGACTGACGATGACGGCTGACGATTTACTGACGCCATGCTGCATGGCTGCAGGCTTCTCGTCTGAAAAAGAAAACATTACATTGTATTAAAATTAAATACAAAGTTTGCCAACATAGCACTAACCCTCCGTCGGTCGGCGTGGTCTGGCCAGACTTTTTTCGACTTCAATTTAAAAAAAAAAAAACTTCTAGTAATCCTATCGACTTGAAATTTCTTGACTTTTCCTAAAATTTCATTAGCTGTCGATCAATGAAAAAATCAGGACGAAAAAATGTACAGAAGGATAATTATAAGGATATTAACTTTTTTATACTTCGAACGGTCGGAAAGGTCTGCCTAGACCACCCATACATTTTGTGTGAAATATACGTTTTTTGATATATGTAAACCAGTATTTTGTCTTTTTTCATGGTATTTTCTATTCAAACTGCGTTGTATACTTGTTTATCTATGGTTGTATATATTCTTTGCAATGTGTTGTAACATGAATGTTAGTATTTTCATGACGAGAGTTGCTTGAAAACCTACCAAACTTATTGGTAATCGCAAACACTGAAAATCGGATGAGCAATGCACACATTATCAACAATTTTTCTACCCGTACTGCGTACGATTTTTTTTTTTGGCAAACCTGTAGTGAAATTATATTTTCACTTAGAGTTTTACAGCTCATTTCAAAGGCGATGCACCTCATTTTGTTTTCATTTGAATTTTACATTCATTTCAAAGGCGCCGAAAAAGAATATTGTTTTTCATTGATATAAAACAGAAAAATTAACAGAAAGAGCAACGATTTTTTATATTTCTTGATTTTTTTTATATAATATAATATGTAATATTTTTATTATAAGCAAGCTCAACACATGCAAAAGACGGTAAAAAAAAGAAAAAATCAAAACTATAAATATTTATTACTATAATCGTTAATATATTATATAAGACACCAAAAACTCATTTATCCCATATAAATGCATGTAAAATTAATGGTGGTCCAGCCAGACCTTTCCGACCGTTCGAAGGTGAAAAAATTTCCGACCGACGGAGGGTTAATATCGATTGTTAGGTGGATGGCACACACATAGCCTATACTAATCATTGTTAACTTCCCGAAGGAGAAGTTTATGTTCATCAAAAAATCCGATTCGCTAATTTTATGTTTTCTCGACGTTTCAAGCCATTCTGAATCTATTGAAACCAAATTTGGAAAATGTATGTATGTGTATGTGTGTGTGTATGTTATGTGAATAGATTTTTTGCCGTAAATCGACGTTTTCTCAAAAACGACTAAACCGATTTTAAAAATTTAAAAGCCATTCGATGTATCTCGATGAGGACTATCGTTTGTCAGTTTTGCGCTACGATCGGCCTAACCGTTTCTTTATAAATCGCAGTAAAGTTAAAAAATTTTTGTCCACGTTTTAGCCCGCAATTCTGAATCGATTTTGAAAATTCAAAAACAGTTCGAAAGATATTGGTTGAGATTGATACTGATTAGTTTTAAGTGAAGATCGACCGAACCGTTTACTTGTAATTAGGTGTTGCAGGTACTGTGTATAGTTTGCTATGAAAAATAAATCAAAAAAATTTTTTATGAGACGTGTTTGATGATAGATATCATGATAGAATATACTAAAATATTAAAGCCCTTAACATACTAAATATTAGGACAAGTAGTTCAATTTTGAAAATTCGTTAAGGTTTGCAAAAATTAGTATTGTTCTTTGGCATTTGTTAAAATTAGACTTTGATTGATGTTTTCTCAAAAACGCCTGAACCGATTTCAGAAATTTAAATGCCTTTTGATATATCTCAATGAGGACTATCATTTGTCAGCTTTGTGCGACGATCGTCCAAACCGTTTCTTTGTAATTTAGAAAAAAGTGTTGAACTTCCACATTTAAGCTCATACTACCGAATCGATTTAAAAAAATCAAAAACTGTTCGAAATGTATTAGATGGGAATCCCAACTTCCCACTTCGAACTGATTAGTTTTAAGTGAAAATCTACCGAGCCGTTTTTTTGTAATTAACTGTTGGAAAAAGCATTAAAATAATTTTTATCGAACTTTTCTTAGCGATATATATTATGGTCTTACAGATCTTACTGAAATATTACGGGCTTACGACAAGTAGTTTAATTTTAGAAATTTATCAAAGTTTGAGAAGATGAGTATCTTTTTTTGACGCTTGTTAAAATTGAAATTAGACGATTTACTTGGTATAATTATAAAATACTTAGTTTTAATGAACATACTAATCCATTAAAGTCCAACGGAAACTGGTTCAATTATAAAAATTATTGATATGTGAAAATTTGCTTTTAGAAAATACTTCGAGTTAACGTGTTCGTTCGTCTTCAATTATGTGTAATAAACCCACTCGGAATACTTCTAACTACTCATAAATTAATTGATTTTTCAATAATTAAGTTGATTATTTACACATATCAGGAAGTTCATGTAACATGCCTCAAGGCAATATACCAATACCAACTAGTTTAATAATATAGTTCTCGCTTTCGTTAAACTTATAACTTATTTTAATACCTCGTCTAACTATTTTTGGATCTAAATAAAATAAATTTTCCCAAAACACGAATGAAAATAAATTCATAAAATTTACTTTACCCCGGTTGGGTTTTCACGATGATCGCACACGTAACGCAACGCAATCGTGAGGGAATGAATCTGTTCGCTGAATCGGTCGCTCACTAAAACGCCCAAGTTATGCGTCCGGGGCAAAAGTAAACAACCTGAGCACTTCATTAACATAAAATCACAGTTCGGGCTCCCGAAAAAAGGTTGGAAACATTATTTTGCCGGGAAATGTTTGAATTGTCCAATATATTTCATGCTATATTATCCATAACGTTTCTGCGAATCGAACTGGTGAGAGACGATAAATTGTGAAAACATTTGAATTCGGAGCAAAATTTTTAACTTCCCATAGGGTGAGCTATAGTTGTCGCAAAAAAAAACGAAAATAATTTTTTTTATATATCTTCACGTATCATAGGTTTCTGAAGATTTTGGCATGCCTTAGAAAAAATTGATGTACGTGTGTGCCTGTGTGTATGTGTTTGTGTGTGTATGTATGTCTGGATACAATTTTTTATCCACGATTTTGCAAACACGGTTCAACCGATATCAGCGATTCACAAAACATTTTATTTCTATTAATGGTGAGACGTGATTATTAGTTTTTGGCAATGGCAGATCCAGCCGTTTTGAAGATACTGGATAAAAATTAAGTTTTTGAGAGAATGAAGTATCTGATTTGAATGATTCAAAATACAATTTACTTGTATTGACAAAATGAAATAATGATTAAACTTTTTGGAAGGCAATTTAATAATAAGTATTAATTTTGTTTCCATTTTTTTAACTTCCCGTAGGGTAAGTTATTGTAATGGGCCGAAAATCGGAATTGAAAATTTTTACATTTCTCGACGTTTTGAAGGTTTCTGAACGTTTTGGCATACCTCAGAAAAAATGGATGTGTGTGTGTGTGTGTGTGTGTGTGTGTGTGTATGTGTGTGTGTGTGTATGTATGTGTGGATACAAATTTCCAGTCACGTTTTAGGGCGCACGGATCAACCGATTTGAATGGTTCAAAAAACATTCGATTCCTATTGATTGGGAAAAGAGCTGATTAGTTTTTGGCAAAGGCAGGTCCAGCCGTTTCGGAGATACGGAGCAAAGAGTGCAGAAAATAGAAATCGAATTTTTGAGCGAACGGAGTATCCGATTTGAATGATCTAAAAAACATTGAATTAGTAATGATTGGGAGAAGTGTTTATCAGTGTTTGGCAAAGGCAGGCCCAGCCATTTCGAAGATACGGAGCTAATTATGTAAAAAATGGCAGTTTTTGAGAGAACTAAGCGTCCGATTTAAATGATTCAAAGAACTTTCTGCTTGTCTTAACAAAATAATTGATTTTGGATTTTTTTTTTTTTTTTTTTTTTTTTTTTTTTTTTTTTTTTTTTTTTTAGTATTTTGTATATCGAAAATATTTCAGATTTTATTTTTAATTCTGACTATAGTTCTAATATACTTTAGAAATAATTTCAACTCTGCAATTCGGTTTATATAATTCTTATAAATATTAGACAATGTTACAATATTTATAATAATATATTTGAAAACATTCAATATTCCTCGAACATTTCGTTACGGTGCGGGAAGTTCCAGCAATTTGCCTCAAGGCACGATGCCATAATTGCCTCAAGACAGAATTCCACTTACAGCTAGTTAAGTTCCTTACCAAGATTTTTAGTTTTCAAAGATCACTTATATAGCTCAAACATACTTTATCGATTTTTTGGACAATGAGGATAAAGCAATTTGAATTTTTCTAAAACATTTACTTTGTATTAACCCTAAGACGTATTGGTTAGTCTTTGCAAAAGACAAAACTAGCCGTTTTGGAAGTACGCAGCGCAAAAAGTGCAAGCAGTTTTTGAAAGACCGGATCATTCGAAAAACATTTTGATTGAGACAATTTTCAGAAATGAGAAAATTAGCTTTGAGAAGGGCGGTCCAAGGGTTTAAAAAACTTTTAAATCTTTCACAATTTTAAAAAAGTGATAATTTTCGATTTTATTTCAAAATGCCAATAATTTTTAGAATTTAAAAAACCAACATTCTCAAAAAACTTAAAAAATACAATAAATATGTTGAATAAAAATAAATTAAACTTTATCATCAATTTTTTAGATGAAATGGATGTATGTATGTGTTCGGATACAAAGTTTTGTTGACGATTTCGAGCGCACAAATCAACCGATTTGGATGATTCAACAAACATTCAATTCCTATTCATGGCAAGACGTGCTGATTAGTTTTTGGCAGAAGCAGATCCGGCCGTTTCGAAAACACGGGACAAAAAATGCCGAAAATGGTAATTCAGTTTTTGAGAGAACGTTTTCGATTTGAATGATTCATAATATATTTTACTTGTATTGCCAAAATGAAAACAATATTATTTTTTTAGAAAGTCAGGTTTAGTGATTTCAGAGATATAGAAGAAAAAGTAAAAAAAAATATTTGACGATCAAAAATGATCATTAGACATATGCACATCAAATTTACAGATATTTTATGGAAATTTTAAAAATGAGTATTAATTTTTAACTTTTCGTAGGGCAAGTTATTGTAATCGCAAAAAAATCGAAAATGAAAATTTTTTGCATTTCTCGACTTTTCAAAGGTTTCTGAATATTTTGGCATACCTTAGAAAAAATGGATGTATGTGTGTGTGTGTGTGTATGTGTGTTTATGTATGTGCGGATACAAATTTTCGTCGACGATTTCGGGAACACCGATCAACCGATTTGAATAACTCAAAAAGCATTCGATTCGTTTTGATAAGGAGACGTGCTGATTAGTTTTTGGCGGAGGCAGGTTTAGCCGTTCCAAAGATACGGGGTAAAAAGTGCCAAAAATGGTAACTCGGTTTTTATGAGAACGGAGCGTCCGATTTAAATAATTCAAAAAACATTTTGCTTGTATTGACAAGATAAAGAACTGATCAAATTTTCAGGAAGGCAGATCTAGCGGTTTCGGAGATCTAATGATAAAAGTAAAAAAAAATGCCATTTGGCGGTCAAAAATGATCATTAGACATATGCACATCAAATTATCAGATATTTTATAAAGATTTTAACAATAAGTATAATTTTTTTTTTACATTTCTATGGGTTCCGTACCAATGCTTATCCGTTAGACGGCAGTGCGGCACTTGCGCGCTTTGACATTTCGTCTCTATGTAGATAAAGCAGTACGATTGCATTGAAAAAAAGTTCAGAATTTCCAAAATATATCAAAATAAAGAAAAAAAGTAATTTTTTGTCAAATTTATAGTTTCTCGAAAATTTAATTTATTCCAAGTAATTTTTTTTCAAAAATGTTAATCTTTTTAAAAAAATAATAATATTTGGTACGGGAAGTTCCAGCAATTTGCCTTAAGGCACGATGCCATAAACCACTAGTTTAATTTTTAATATGAGATGTTCAGCAATTTGCCTCTATGCACGATGCCATGCACCACTAGTTGACTTGTTTTACTACTACGAGTTGACACATGAGTCTATTATATATGAACTGTTGCCCTGCACGGCTTAGTCGACGATTGATTACCCCGCGAAAGTCCGGGCCTACTCGCCTATTCGCCTACAATTCTGGCCTACTCTATTCGTTCCCGATTCTGCGGCAGGATTACGTTCACCGTTCACCATTCATTCACCGTTCACCGTGGTGCGGTCTAGGCTTTGACAGCGCAGCGCGGCGCCCTCCCACTATTGCATTGTGTATGTAATACATCAAAGTCTGCTTGCGGACGAAAAGTCGATCCAACATCAACCGCAATCGTGGCTCAATTCGACCTACACTATGGCAGAATGCTGGATTGTTATCTTCTTAAAAGATACTTGAGTGCGAAATCAGTACGGCGGTGATATATTACTAGAAAATTTTCAAAGCGAAGTTAAATTTAGGTCAAATGTGTTGCATTATGTATTTTAAAAATTTAGTTAGGTGCATGGCATCGTGCCTTAAGGCAAATTGCTGAAATTTCCTGCATTGAATTTTTGAAATTTTTAAAAGCTTTTAAATAGTGGAAAATATTGAAATATTTTTTTATTTTTTAAAAATTATTTGTAATATTTGAACTTTATTATAAAGCGATTGCAGAAGCACCGCGACGCAAACTATTTGTTAAACATTATAAATTTTGTTGCGAAACCCATAAAAATGTTACCAAATTATATTATTCATATATCTATAAAATCGTCGATATGCACTTTTTTAAGCTAGTTTTGGACCTGCCTTTCCAAAATTTTTATCGATTTTTCATTATGTCACTACGAGAAAATTGTTTCTGGAATTATTCAAATCAGACACTTTGTTGTTTTAAAAAGAGAATTAACATTTTTGATACTTTTTGGTCCGTATCTACGAAACGGCTGGACCTACCTTTGCCAAAAACTAATCAGCATGTCTCCTAATCAATGAGAATCGAATTCTTTTAATCATTCGTATTGAATGATCCGTGTTTACGCAATCGTCGATAAAACTTGTATACGCAAATACATACCTACACACACATACATACAAACATAAATTTGTGTGAGCTTTGTCACAATATTCAGAAATCTATCAAACGTAAGAATACGAAAGAAATTATGGTTGCAATTTTTTGCGATTATAATAACTCACCCTACGGAAAGTTAAAAAATAGTATCTCAACTTGATTGTTAATAAAATTACATTTTCTTTACTTTGAAAATTTTGTTAAAAATTTGCAATAGAAGAATTATTGGAGAATAGAGAGATACTATTGACGTTTTTTAGTCGTTTCTACATTCTCTGACAGCTTCTACTGGTAACACCGCACTTCTTCTAGAAAATGATCAATTGTAAAATTATAACAATGGTTATAGAATAATTTTTGTTCTAGATTTTGTAGAAAAATAATTACCACACTTATTAATCATTATTTTGTATAAATATGATCAAGGTATCTCAAGGTATATACATTAATTTAAAAAAAGCTGTTACAGCAAGTTACTAGTTCTCGCACTTCAATGCAATGCGTCTTTTAGCATACTTTCTTTGTACGTTTCCATAAATCTCAAATGAATGCTTTTAAATAATCAATACAAAAAATGAAAGTTTACACAATTAGTTTCAACAAATAAATTCAGAGAAGGAATGAAGGAAATCATGTAAGGACAACAAATCATACACAAATAGCACTCCCTGTGATTCACTTTTGATGCATTGGTTTTCAATTTTTGCACGTGTTTCTAATTCCACGTAAGCTATAAATAACTAATTCTAATAATATCTCGTGTACATTACAAATTGTGTCATTAATCCTTGAAAACATCAACATTATCATTGCATTGCTGTTCCTGGGGGTCTTTAATCCCCATAAACCATGCAATTCCATGCTCAGTCAGTAGACTGAATTGAGAGATCCAATTCTGATAGAGAATTTACGTAGCCGCGACCACAACACGCAATTCGCCACACCGACTGCAATTAATCCTATCGTCTCTACTACAAGCCGACCGGCTACTCGATGCAGAATTGCAAATAATAGACAATTATACGGGATAAATAAGTCATGAAGTCAAAAAAAGTTGAAACAGATTGGCCGAACATATGTAGTCGTACTTGGAAGTAATCATAGATTTGCAACTTTCTTTAGATGATTTCTTGCACTTTGTATAAGTGGTTCGTGGTATTCGATTTTATTATTTGGATTAAATTAATATATAATTTTATGAATTGTAAATATAAGAACATTTGAGTTTTTCAAAAATGTGTACCAAGTTTATGGATATAATATTGTAAAAAATCAATTTTATTAATCACAATATCATTAGTAAATCACAGTTAAATGTATCAAAAGTAACTCCCACTAGAATAAGATTGAGAATCATAAAAAAATCGAAAATGAAATTTTTTGCGTATCTTAACGTTCCTAAGATTTCTGAACATTTTGGCATATCTTAAAAAAATGAATGTATGGTTGTGTGCCAGTGTGTATTTTGTATGACCACGATTTGAGGCGCACGGATCAACCAATTGGAAAAATTAAAAAAACATTTGATTCCTATTGATATGTAGATGTGCTGATTAGTTTTAGGCAAAGACAGGGCCTGCCGTTGTAGAGATACGGAGCAAAGAGTGCAGAAAAAAGAAATCGAGTTTTTGAAAGAACGGAACATCCCATTTGAATGATCCAAAAACATTCAAATCGTGATGATTGTAAGAACTGGTGATTAGTTTTTGGCAATGACAATGCCAACAGTTTCGGAGATACAAAGCTAAATGTGCAAAAAATGGTAATTTTTCAGAGAACTAAGCATCTGATTAAATGTCCAATTTATAAGCAAGTATATTTTGTCTACGAAATACGAATAATAAAAGTTATAGTATTTATTATAAAAAAATTTGATAAATTAATAATTATTATTACCGAAAATTTCATTACGGTACGGCAAGTTTTAGTCAATTTTGTATTTGTGAAGAGTATCTTAGAAATTTCGGTAAAGATTATTTTAGAAATTTTCATCCGAGAACATCAAAGTCCTATGTCAAAAAAAATCAAAAGGTAAATGGGTTTAAATGTCGCCGTGGTAAAAATGCACAAAAAAATAAAAAAAAGTTAGTTATTTTTAAATTTTTCGACTGTCCGAAGATAGAAACTTCAAACCAGAAGCACATGAATTGTCTTGTGGGCAAGAATAACTGGACCCTAGGTTATATTTTGTCGATTTTTTGGGGAAAATTCGAGGTGCCCAAAATTGCAGGATACAATCCCTATGACTTAAAGAATTTGCATTAAATATATTTCGATTGCAATTCAAGTACTTCAAAAAACATGAATTGTCTTGTGGCGAAGAATAACATCAAGTAGTTGCATTTCGTTAGTTCTTTCACTAACGTATTGGTATTTTGAAAATCTATTTTTCATCCTTTGACAGTTTCTTCTTTTGAATATATCGGAAACATAATTGATTACACAAATGAATTTTCAGTTATGCCAAAATATTCAGAAACGTGAAAGATATGCTAACGTTTTCATTTTCTATTGCTACTTATAAAATTTACCCCACTCGAAGTTAATAATGATTACGTGAATGCAAAACCCTTCAGTATGATACGATAAATATTCCCTTTGTACAACAATGTCTTAGGTCTAACACTTACTTTGTAGTATGTGCACGTTGACGCTGGCAGGTCGTGCATTTGAAGGCACGCAGGTGTAATTTCCCGCGTGAAATTTGTCGGCCTGCTCTATGACCAGCTCGCTGGACTGCTTGCCGTGCTTCACGGTGACGCCGCCACCTGCAAAATAAAAAATAATATGAAGGACTTAATTTTTTTTGTTCAAATTTATTTTTGTTAATCAAGACTTCGTGTCTTGTCAATGTCTCATTTACAAAATTGACAGGTACAAAAAAGAAATTATTCAAAAAATACAATAAATTGAATAAAAACAAAAAGTTAAAAGAAGTTAAAATAATAATAATAATAACAGTAATATAAAAATACAAATATAAATGAACTATGGCGCGCTGATTATTCGCCCATCACAGTTAAAGAGTGCTAAGTTAGAGCGCGGGTAGACATTGGACTAGGTGTTTGGTAGGTCGGTAGAACTTTTTCTTCTTACTTTATTCAGTATTCAGTAATTCAGTAATTAGAAATATACAACATTAAAAGCTAAACTGAAATCATTGTATTGTAATCAAGATAATCTCCACTGAAATTATCTTGTTAATCTGGTTATGCATTGTCCAATTGCCAAGTTTGCTTCAGCCTCCTCTGTCTAGTTTGTAATAATTTGTGCGCTAATTGGTTAGGGTGAATGAAAGTGAAAACTATAGCATTGATTTACATTCATATAAAGACTGATATGAATGCTATAACATTCAAATTTTAAAGTCATTTTTTTATAACCTAACGCTGTTGTAATTATTATACCTCTAGAGGTAATGGCAGTAACTAATTCTTTGGGTATTTTTGTACTATCTTTTCTTTTCCTGTAATCACTATTTAGCTTGGGCAAACACTTAGTGTAAAATAGAAGCGCTTTTTGATGTGGATGCTATAGCATTCATCTAGCACATAACGATTAAAATAAGAAAATCTTATGACTACCTTTATAATCGGTGTTCAATGAAGTTTTGGATATCACAGCCAACATAAAAATAAATGTACTGTCAATTTTTGTACTTTGCTGAGACTTCCACTGTCCGTCAACGTGTTAAGAAATTTATAATTGCAAAAAAAGTTTATGAAAGGATTCACAATATTAAAAATAGATAATGTGATTTTTACCTTTTTGAATGAGGAGTTAATTTTCAACCAAAAGCAATTTCAATCGAAATTGCTTATTTTATGTTTCCTCGACGTTTCATGTCATTCTGAATCGAATGGAACCAAATTTGCAAAAAGTATGTTTGTGTGAGTGTGTGTTACCAGATTTTTGACATTTTGTCAACACTTCTCAATAACGGTTGGACTGATTTAAAAAATTCAAAAGTTATTCGATGTAACTCGATAAGGACTAGTGTTTGAAAATCAGCCAAGTCGTTTCTTTGTAATTATCAAAAAAGTGTGAAATATTTTGTCCAAGTTTTAGCCCACAATTTTTGAAACGACTTCAAAAACTTGAAAACAGTTTGCAAGATACTAATTTGTTTTGTAGCCCAAAATTTTGAAAAAAACAGGCCAGACCTTTTTCCTGTAATTTACTATTAAATTTTTTTCCAACCATTTTTATGAAACGTTTTACAGCGATGGATATCATGGTCCTATAAACCATACTGAAATATTACCGTGCTACAATGAGTCGTTTAATTTTAAAATTTGTAGAAGTTTGTGAAAATTAAGAACATTTTTTGGCGCTTGTCAAAATTAGACCTTTCATCGTCGTTTTCCCAAAAAAGACTGTTTTCTTGTGATTAACCGTCGGACAAAATGCCGATTTTTATAAAAAAATAGTTGACGATAGATAGACGACCCTATGACAAGTAGTTTAATTTAAAAAAATTATTCAAGCTTGAAAAATTATAGTCTAAATTTGTGTCAAAAATAAAATGGTAGGAATTGATACTAATTTGTTGTTTGTCCCAAAATTTTGAAAAAAATAGGCCAGGCCTTTTTCCTGTAATTGACTATTAATTTTTTTTCCAACCATTATTATGAAACTTTTTACAGCGATATATATCATGGTCTTATAAAACATACTGAAATATTACCGTCCTACAATGAGTCGTTTAACTTTAAAATTTGTAAAAGTTTGCAAAAATTAGTGACATTTTTTGGCTCTTGTCAAAATTAGACCATTCATCGTCGTTTTCTCAAAAACGACCATTTCCCTGTTGGCAAAAAATTGCCGATTTTTATAAAAAAAAAGTTGACGATAGATAGACGACCCTATGACATGTGGTTTAATTAAATAAAAGTTAAAAATAAATAATTAATAATTTTTTTAATTAATTAAAAAAAATCATCAAAGTTTGAAAAGTATAGTCAAAATTTGAGCCAAAAATCGTTTTTGTGATGTGATAAGTCAAACATTGTCAATGTATTCAAATGTGGAATAATGAACTACAATGGACATACATAACAAATGAAATACAAAATAATGGACTACAAGGACATACAAACACCCGTGTCTGTGCTGTATGATTAATATAATTACATATATTATAAATGAGTTTGAGAAGATTTAATTGGAAATCGCCTTGTTAAGACTAATTGAGTTGAAAATTTTATCTAAATACCTAAATCCAAATTTCGGTTGATTAAATCAATCAATCTATCGGAAAGTTCATACGACTTGCCTTAAGACAAAATGCAGCTTTTAACTAGTTAGTTTTCTGATTCTACTAACTCTTACAAAATCTTATCTACTACAAATCTGTACTACGGTGAACCACGGCACGTATTCGTCTAATTTAACACTCCAGGTACAATATTTGGCCTGTGAACGAATGGATTTAGCGGTTATTCGTTATCGGGAGAACAGACCCCGGTTAGAACACCTCTAAACTCTAACCTTGGATCCGATATAGCACTGTGTCACTAGACTAACACATTTCACCGCCGACAGGAACAGAAATAGACGGAGCGCTAATGGACAAGTTGCGAAAAAAAATTGATGGAATTTATATAAACGAAAGACCTACCAATATCAACTTAGATATATTAGTCCAGTTCTCAACTGTATAGAAATTAGGATATATGAATAAAACTTAAGTGACATGCACTTTGAAAACAAAAAAATATTTTATTATTTATTAACTTCCCGAAGAAGTTTGTTTTCATAAAAAAATCCGATTTGCTAACTTTATGTTTTCTGGACATTTCAAGCCATTCTGAATCGAATGAGATTGGAAGATATGTATATATATATGTGAACAGATGACCGATTTCAAAAATTTAAAAGCCATTCGATGTATCTCGTTGAGGACTATCGTTTGTCATTTTGAGTCGTTTTTACAAATATTAGTTGGGAACGATACTGATTAGTTTTAGGTAAAGATCGACCGAGCCGTTTTCTTGTAATTAATTGTTGAAAAAAAAATTGACGATTTTTACGAAATTTTTTGGCAATAGATATCATGGTCTTATAGAACATACTGAAATATTGCGAATCAACGACAAGTAATTTCATTTTAAAAATTCATCGAAATTTGAAAAAATATTATTGTCAAAATTTATGTCAAAAGTTGCTTTTGTGATGCGGTAAGTCAATTAGCACAATTTAATTTCTCTATTTTTGTGAGAAATGTTACCATTTAATAACTTTCCGTAGAGTAAGTTATAATAATAGCAGAAAATCGAAAATGTAAATTTTTATATATCTTTACGTTTCAAAGGTTTCTGAACATTTTGGCATACATTGAAAAAAATTAATGTATGAGTGTGTGTGTGTGCAGGTACAAATTTTCGTCGACGATTTTGGGAACACGGATCAACCAATTTGAATAATTTAAAAAAAAACATTCGAATTGTATTGATAAGGAGACGTGCTGATTAGTTTATGACAGTTAGGAATAATTGTGAGAAAACGGAGTATTCAATATTAATATTTCTTCTATAATAAATAATATACAAAACATTTGGAAAGGCAGGTTTAACGGTTTCAGAGATCACGTGAAAAAAAATGAATTTGGGAATTATATGCACATTAAATTTTCAAGTATTTTATAGACACTTTAAAACTTAGTAGTGAGTTTGTTACAATTTTTTAGAGTTCCGTACCAACTTTTTAAATTTTTAAAGATCACTTATAAGGCTCAACCAAATTTCAATGTTTTCTAATTTTTTTTTTCAAAATTTTACAAAGTTTTATACTTTAAGTACAAATTTAAATTTACACTTGAGTTTAAAAATTTTATATGGGTATTCCTTAGAAATATATCCTTAAATGAATTCATTAGGCTGCTCTTGTTAATGTAAACATTCTTAAGTGTTTTGTGCGAAAAGATTGTAACTGTATATTATACAATATAGATATTATAATATATATGTATTAACTAGAGGGTATATGGCATCGTGCCTTGAGGCAAATTGCTGTAACTTCCCGTACCGTGAATAGAAATCTTGGTACGGAACGCAAAAAAATTCACAAAAAGTGTACACATAATTAAAATCTCTATAAAATATCTGATAATTTGATGTACATATGTCCAATATACATATTTGACCGTCAAATGCCATTTTTTCAAATTATGTTTATTGAGATTCCATAACCGATGGACCTGTCTTCCCAAAAATTTAATCAGTTGTTCATCTTGTCAATAAAAGTAAAATGTTTTTTGAATCATTCAAATCAGGTACTCTATTCTCTCAAAACTGAATTACCGTTTTTAGCACTTTTTGACCCGTATCTTCGGAACGGCTAGACTTGCCTTGCCCAAAAACTAATCAGCACGTCTCCTTATCAATACGAATCAAATGTTTTTTGAGTCATTCAAAGCGGTTGATCGGTGTTCCCAAAATCGTCGACAAAAATATGTATCCGCACACACACATATACATCCAGTTTTTCTGAGATATGCCAAAATGTTCACAAAAATTTGAAATGTAAAGATATAAAAAAATTTCAGTTTCGATTTTTTTGCGATTTTTTGCGATTACTATAACTTACCCTACGGGAAATTAATTTTATTTGAAAATATTTAGAACAATTTTTATTAACTTTGATCAATATTCATTGAATACTGATGAATTTTTTCCTCGAATGTTTAATTACGGTACGGTAAGTTCCAGCAATTTGCCTTAAGGCACGATGCCGTACACCACTAGTTAAACTTTGAATATACTTTACC